CGCAACATAACGTGTTACAAATAATAATAATAATAATAATAATAATAATGACAACAAATTTCATTAATTAATTAATCAATTTATTTATTTATTTTTTTTTTGCGTTTATTATTATCATTATTATTTTATTTAATTTTTTTTTTTCGGTTTGATCAAAATGTTTAATAATAAAATGATGCGTCGGTTTATTTATGTTGTTAGAATAATAATAATAATAATCTCAATAAAATAATATGAAAACGTTTATATAAATATATAATATAAATATAAATAATCGATTGATTATGTTAATAATAATAATAATAATAATAATAATAATAATAATAATAATAATAATATAGCCGTGATTCGGTGGAATTTTTTCAAAATGAACATTATAGAACAAATATTGTTAGTATTATTTTTCATAAGAAAAATGATAAAAAATTTATTAATAATAATAATAATAATAATAATATGAATTTGTAATATTATTATTATTATTTATCTTAATATTATTTAAAAAAATATTAAGAAATTGTTTTGAAAATGATTATGAGTAGGTTTTGTGCTGTTAAAAAAAAAAGTGTGAAAAAGTTATCGTTTCGAATTATTAGATCTCAATTTATTTCGTGTATCGGTTTCAATAATAATAATAATGATTATTATTATTATTATTATAATAATTAGAAAGCACAATTTTACTCTGTATCCCCTTTCAAATAATGAAAGAAAAAAAAATTATAATTAGTATCTTCTCTATATGTTAAAATAAATTGTTTCAAAGAAGAAGAAAAGAAAAAAAAAATTTTATTATTATTTATTATTATTATTATTATTTTAAAAATATTTATTTAGAATATATATGATAATAATAATAATAATAATAATAATAATAATTGGCTTGGCATTATTATTTATACATGCAAATTCTGATTGCATATCTTTATTTATCTGTTTCTTAACTAAATAAAGGGCGGTCAAAATGTTCCTACTTTGTATACACATAATTTATTATCAATGCTTTTTGTCGTCATTGGTAGCTAATATTCGTTTGGTCATTAATAATAATAATAATAATAATGATAATAAATCCTTCCCTGTTGTTTTTTTAATTTTTTTTTTTTTGTTTTTTTTTCCGATAAAATTTAAATAAGAAAAAGAAAAGAAATTTAAAATTTTGTAGTTTTTTTCTTTTTTTTTTTTATTTTTGTTCCTAGAAAAAAATTTATGTATTATTTATTTTATGTTTATTAAAACGGAGTGGGAAGTTTTGATACAATATAATAATGACCAAATAATAATAATAATAAAAAAACTTTGGATTGTTACTCAAATCATTTAAAAAAAAAAAAAAAAAAAATTAAATAATAATAATAACTGTAATAATTTTTTTTATCATTTTTAATATGGTTGAAATGGGTAATTTTCCTATAATTTTTATGTAGTCTCATAATAATAATAATAATTAGAAAATTAAATTTTACTGAACATATATATGTATATATTTATATATATATAAATATGTTATTAATTAATTTTTAATTGAGCCTAAATGCATGCATTATGACGTCATGTTAAAAACTTCTATGAGTATATATATATATATATATATATATGATAAGTGATAATATATATATTGATATTCTTATTAAAGAATGAAAGGTTATATATATAATTAAAGGTTGAAAATATTGTGGTAAAACCATTGTAAAAAGACCTAATTACATCCAACAGGAAAATTATTTCCTGTTGTCGGTAGTTAAATTAAATTTTAAAAAAAACCTTAAACCTAAACAGGTCTTTTTATATTGGAAAACTCTCATTTTTTTTTTTTTTTTTTTTTTTTTTTTAAGCTTTAATTGTTAAATGAAATTATTTAAAAAAAAAAAAATGATTGAAAATAAAATAAATAAAATTGCTCATTTATATCCCACGAACAACAAAAAATGTTGAAAATATTTTATTTAATTTACAATTAATTAATTTTTTATTTTATTTTCAATCATTAAGTCAATTCTTAAATTATTATTATTATTATTATTATTTTATTTTACGTGTTATTAAATGAATTGAAATTAATTACTTGCGATTAAGTAAATTAAAAAAAAAAAAAAAATTTTAATATCACAGCTTAAAAAAAAATAAATTGTTCATGTATATTTATACGAACACGCATGTACACACGCCCACCCCCACACTGACTCACTCACTCGATCTATTGAGCTAAAATAATAATAATTATAAAAAAATTATATTTTTTAATATGCTTCATTTTATTATAATTAAAATAATAGAAAAATTGGTCATTGGGGAGGAAAAAATAAATAATTTTCAATTAATTGTAAAAATATTATTAAAAAAAAAAAAAAAGTATTATTAATTAATTAATAAAAAAAAATTATTGTTATCTATCTATTTATTTTTTCCTCCATTTGTTATGTATTTATTTATATATATATCTCTGCATTGCACTTATTTTGCTTTATCGGGTTATATATATATATATATAGTAAGGACCAAATAATTTAATAAATTAATAAAATATGAAGCCGAAAAAAAAAAAAAATAAAACTTCGATGCGGTTTTTAATAATTTGTATGTAATTAATTATATTAAAAAAAAAAAAAAATTATACAAAATTATTCTGTCACACTGTAAAGAATTACAATAATTAAATAATTATAATTAATAATTAATAATAATAATAATAAAAATAGATAGTTAATAAGCTTTTAATTGTAAGTATGTGTTTATAAAAATAATCAGTTAATATTAAAATAATGAAATTTTATTTTGTTTTTTTTTTTCATTAAATATCCAATTGACGCGATGTAAATTCCATTATATCATATGTGATTTAAATAATTAATAATAATAATAATAATGATAATGATGATAGCATTAATAAAAGTCTGAATCGGAACTTTGACGAGATAACGTCGGACTGAAATGAAGTGAATTTTGCGATTCAATGGATTCTACGGACTCTGATTGTACCAATGGAATTACACTTGCGTGCTTTTTTAAACCTGTTAATAAATATGAATTATGTAAATTATTATTAATAATACATATTTTTTTTTTTTTAGGTTCAATATCGCTACTGTGCGTCCTACTGCTACTACTACCACCACCACCACCATCATCATCATCACCTTTGTGTAAAGTAGACTCCGTTGAAGAAGGATAATGAGACAAAATTATATTTAAACATTGTGCAACGTTTTTCGATGGTGCGCACGAAAGGGCTGGAGTTAAACCGTCAGAATCGACAGCTAATATGTTGGCTCCTTTTTGAATTAACAACTGAGTGACGGTGACGAGACCCTGTTTGGCTGCTATATGAAGAGGCCTTTAATAAAAACATGGTGAGTAATAATTTGAACTTTAAATCGATAAGTATTAGACAAAATAATAAAATAAAAAAAAACATTATTTCGACCTACGTTTTTTTTTGCTTATTGGGAATGTTAACAATGGAATTATTTTCAGAATTTTGAATAAGAATCATTGCGGAAAGATGATATCTCATGGCGCAAGCATAATGCAACGCCGTATTACTCGAATTGTCTTGGATTGTAGCATCTGCTTTTGCTTTCAAAAGTATTTCTATGGCACGAGCGTGCCCCTTCAGCGCGGACAATATAAGCGGAGTTCTACCGTTTGAATCTTTGCATTCGACATCTGCTCCTCTCTTAATCAATAATTTCAAACAAGATATACTGTTGCACAGTGCTGCAATGTGGAGTGGAGTTCGTCCTGAAATGGTAAAAACTATTCAAAATGTAACTTTGACTCATTTTAAATGTTTAAAATTTTTGTTTTTTACCCTTATGATCTTTTATGCTGACACTCCCTTCACCAAAATAATTCAACAATAATTCTAAACAGTTTTTTTTCCCGTGTAGAACACTTGAGTGAACAGGAGTAAAAGAATTTCCTTTCCACGAATCACAGCTAAAATTATTGACTAGGTACTCAATGCATTTAAAATTTCCTTTATAACTGGCCCAGTGAAGTACAGTGCAGTCTTGTTGATCAACTAAACATGATATATTTTCATTAAGGTGTTCTATCAGAATTACCAATATATTATGAAATCCACGTAAAGCTGCAATATGAACAGGAGTTTTTCCGTTACAGTCCTGTAAAAATACTTTTTTAAATAAAATTTAAAAAAAAAAAAAAAAATTATAACTTTTAATAAGTTGTACCTTGACATTTACAGATGCACCTTGGCAAATGAGCAATTCTACGTTGTCAAAGTTACCGAAAAAAGTAGCCCTGAACAATGGAGTGTAATTGTTGTAATCGGGAATGTTAACATCGGCTCCGTGTTGCAACAACGCAATTATACAATTAGACGATCCGTGAGCAACAGCAAGCATAAGAGGGGTTCTACCTTTGTTATCGCGAAAATTAACCACATCGGTTGTCTCTGCATTATCTAAAAGCATCTGCAAACATTCTGTGTGCCCGTTTACAGCAGCCGCATGAACTGGAGTTCTTTTATTGACGTCGTCGTGAACAGCGACTAAAGCACCACATCGTAAAAGAAGCTGAACACATTGGCAGTGACCTTTCAAAGAAGCTAGTTGAAGAGGCGTTCTTCCTGCAAAAATAACAACGATTCAGGTAAAAATTTATTTAAAACGTTCAATGCCAAGTTTTGGGTTTTTTTTTTTTTTTTTTACTAACCTAATTCATCTTTTACATTAACATTATTAAAAAGTGGCAACAGCAGTCTCATAATTTCATTGAAACCATAATAAGATGCAATGTGCAACGATGTAATTTTTAAACAGGTATCATCATTTATTTTCTTATCATAATTTTGCAGTAAATGTTTCAAACCCGCCTGATTTCTCCCAAAAACGGCGTAATGAATCGGAGTAAAACCTTCATTATCATTATTTGCACAATCTTTATTATGTTTAATGAGATATTCAACGCATTTTCCTTCCAAGTCGTAGGCAGCAGCTAAATGCAAAGGAGTACATCCACTTACATCTTTAACAGTTACAGAACTGCCGATCCCGACGAGAGTGTACACGCAATTAAACATCCTTTTCCCGCAGCATAATGCAGAGGTATTCTCCCTTCATTATCGGTGATGTTTAGTTTTGCACCACTGCTTACTAATAAATCTAAACATTCAATTGAACCCTTGTAAGCAGCTAAATGAAGAGACGTTTTTCCAGAGTTGTCTTGGACATTCAAATCCAAATTTAGCTGAACAAATTTTCGACAGCATTCGACGAAACCCCCAAGGCAACACAAATGAAGTGGCGTTCTACCCAAATTATCTTTTTTTAAAGGATCGGCTCCATATGACAATAGAATTCTACTTAACAATTCATGGCCATACAAAGCAGCAATGTGAAGAGTTGTGCAACCTGTCTTATCAGTAGCATCGATTACAGCACCTTTATCAATTAAAATTTTCGATCTGGCTAATCTACCATGAATAGCTGTCATATGCAAAGCAGTTCTGCCATCAAGACTTTGATGATTAATATCAGCTCCTGAAATCAAATATAAGATGTAATAATTCTAAAATTTACATTATTGATGAAAATTAAAAGGCGATTTAAATGTATTTATCAAGACCTTCAGTCAAAAGAATTTTCATACAATCTTCGCCAAGAGTACTGGCAGCCGATATCTGCAAAGGGCTTTGTCCTGCATAGTTTGATTCATTAATTGGAGCATTAAAGCAAATCAATTCGATGACAATATTCTTACAACCATTTAAACAAGCAAGATGAAGAGGAGTATTTCCAGCAGCTGTCTTGGCATCAATCTAAAAATCGTATAAACACAATGAGTTTCAATTAACAATGATGCAGGATACAAAAAGTTAACAAAATTTTTTTTTCCAAAAAAACCTTGGCTCCATTTTCCAATAATATTTGTGCTAGTTCATAACTGTTATTACACACATGAAGAGGTGTGTAAAAATCTCTGTCTCTGGCATTAACATCTGCTCCTTTTTCTATCAAGTACTCAACAATGTCAGAGTGACCCATGTGAACAGCCCAATGTAATGGTCTTCGAAATTTTTTATCACTAACATTAACATGACAGCCATTTTCTAATAGGAATTTGACCATTTCGAAATGACCATTATAAGCAGCATGATGAAGACATGTCTTTCCTTCCCGATCTGTGACATTTATATTTGTTATATGAGGCAAGAGACTTTTGACGCAATTCAAGGAATTGTTTGCCGAAGCAATGTGTATAGGAGTGTGCCAGGATCGGTCTCTGACGTTCACATCTGCATTATGTTTGAGTAATACTTCAACCGTGGGCTGGTGACCAACAAAGCAAGCCAAATGAAGGGGAGTGATCCATTTTGAATCCTTGGAATTGACTCTTGCACCATTTTGTATTAACACCTCAACTATTTTATCGGCTTCAAAGAAAGAAGCAGCATGTAAGGGGCTTCGTTGTTCAAAATCTTGTACGTTAGGATCTTCTTTTGCGTTTAAAAGGTAGGTTACATCTTCTAATTCTCCAATTATAATTGCGTGAATCAAAGCTGGGGCATCGGAAATTTGACGATATACCATAACTTAAGGCATTCAAAATTGACGAGATTAGGCTAGGAAAACTCGCCAAATATTTGCGACTATTTACGCACTTTAAATCAAATAAAAAACACATTAGTAAATAAATTTCTTCTAATTATAATAAAACTAATTTTTTTATGTAAAAAGCTGTCTAAAGTATAATTCTTTAAACAGCGTATGTCAACAGTTAAAACTGCATGTTGACAAATATATATTTATTATCAGTAGTGCCAACAGGAAATCTATTACGTTGTGGAAAAAATTATTTTTTTCAATAGATGGTTAAACTGATCGACAGATCGCTTCAAATAGTTTCAAATTTAGGTTTTTTCAATTTTGAATGAGGTGTTTTTTGATGTTAAAAGTGCTTTTCGTGTATTCATACTTGTTGTTGTTAAGTAACTGATTTAATCGAAGGTAACCGGCAATTTAGTACTTGCACATTTGCCCTGAAGCTTAATCCCCCATAAAAGTTTTAAAAAGCTATTTGTGGAAAGTTGAGTTTAAAAAAAAAACTTGTTGGTTGAGTGTAGTGTCAATTAAAATTAAATTAATTAGTGCATCGAATTCATATAATACGAAAAAATAGTTCATTCAATTCATTTCTTGAAACTCTCTAAGGTAAGAAAACATAATTTTTAGTCAATGTACTTACACATAAATGTACATATAACTGTGTTTTAAGCACAGTAAAAAAGATTAGAAAAGTTCTGGCGTGAATTAAAATGATTGAAATGTAAAATAAATGATTTAATAGTTATTGTTGCTTCATTTGGTTAAATACGAAGCTTAAATTTTTAACATAGAACGTTTCAGTCATTTTAAAGCTAGAAAAGTTAGACCTGAAAAGGCCAAAATTGAAAATTCTATATTTGTGAGCGTTACGACAAAATGGCGCATTTTAAAATGGCGGTTTTTTTTTTAACGTTAAATTTATATTCAATAATCGTGTGAAATATGAGTAAATTTTTTTAAAACGATTTTTTACAATTATTAATAAGGATAATAAGATTTCTTTTTTTTAAATGAAAAACAAATGAATACTTTTACATTTATTTAAAAAACGATTTTATTTTCTCTATTGTAAAACCATTTACACTTTATATATGTAACGTTAAATAGATTTTAAATGATACAGGCAATATACGAGGGGGTATATCTAATAATGATACACTTTGTCTTTTTTTTATACTAAAAATATTATACATAAGTTTAAAAAAAATTTTTAAAGATACAAATTGTCGCTATTTCGTTCAGTACCAATTATTATTTTACTAAAATATTTATAAATCATCTTGGATTTCCACGTCTGGAATATCCAAACACTGACAAAAGAACATGAAAGGCTGCATCCAATGTTGTCTGTCGTTGAATTTCACTACCTAGAGGAGGATTTACCTAATTTTATAGAATAATAAAAAAAAAAGGTTCAAAATTTATACCTAAAAATTACTAATTTAGACTTAAATGAACAGTTATTAAGAGTATTTATATAAAATTTTTACCTCTACGAAATCAACGACAGATAACCTTTTCGTCCTGCATAAAGTTTCTCCAATTTTAATCCCTTCTCTAAGCGTTAAACCACCTCGTACTAAAACATATTAATTATGTTAACATATTAACATATTAACAATGTTTTTAAAAAGTATTTACGAATAAATACCTGGCACGGTCGTACAGGGAGCCTCAAGGGGATCTAACGAATCTATATCGAAACTCAGATGAATTGATTTATTTCCATTTGGGTCTACTCTTTTTATTGCTTCGCACAATACTTTATGTAATCCATAATTTTCAACATCTTCCATTGTGTAAGCCGCGACATTATTTTCGTCCAAAAATACCGTTTCCTCCGGATCTACAGACCTCAATCCGATGAAGGCGATATTACCTAATGGCAAACTAATTAAAAAAGTGAAATAATTTTTCAAAAATTTTATTTTTTTCAATATTTATTTAATTTAATAATTTACCACGGGGTTAACCATTCAAGACCGGGAACTTGAGAATTTGGCCAAAACTTTCGTAATTCTTCGGCTAGCATTGCCACTGTCATACCATGTATATTTCCACTTAAGCTACTTGAAGCCGTATTTATATCGGCGTGAGCGTCAATATATATGACACCAACATTTTGCGGTCCTAATATTTTAAATATTTTTATTTATGTATTCATTCGTTTAATTTTCATCTCAATTCAATATGAAAATAAAATTTAAATAATACCGGCAACGCTTATATGTCCATGTATTGAACCGGTAGCCAGAGAATGATCTCCTCCCATCATTAAACACGCTCTGCAGTCTTGTAAAGCACTCGATACGCAATTAGATACCTGTAAATTTTTTACATTTGAAGTTATTTGAAAAATTTAGGTTATGTTTTTAGTAATTTATAAAATAAAAATTACAACAATGTACGTGTCGGTAAAGGGCGAAAAATATTTTTTGTACGTCATAGTTATTCATCCGCGTCTTGAACAGGGATCGAAGGTTTAATTTATTTTACCTGCAGAGCACAAGGAGCAAAATGATCAAGATTTGTCATATTCTCATGTTGAAGGCCGACTTCCGGTTCATACGTTATATTACCTAGGTCTTCAACGTCCATACCTGAAATAAATTTTCATTTATTATTTATTTTAAACAAATTTATGAATCAATTTTTTCTCTTATGTATATTTGTCCCTCATTATATTTATTTAATTCGAATAATTATATTCGATTTCTAATAATAAATGTTACCCAGGTCTTTTAATATATCGATAAAACCAGTTTGTCGTAGACAGTCAGGTGCCATTTTCAATCCATCTTCTGTTTTTCCTTGTTTCTTCTGAAAGTTCAGATTCAATTATCAATGTATTAGTGTGAGATCAATGTACATGTACACCTAGCAATATAAGTAATGAACTTGAACGTTGAAAATCAAAAAATTTTCGCTCCTGTTTTTAGTACACACATAAAAAAAAAATTTTTTTGTTCATTAAATAATAAACGTACTTGACCTTTACCGAAGGGAACTCCGATAATGCTTAGTTTTCCATTTAAATTTTGTGGGTAAAACGATTTGCTTGAAAACCATTTTTGACTTAAATATTTTGTTTCATGTAAAAAAACTCCATTTATAACTTTACATAGCATTGTAATTTTTCTATTATGAAGCAATTGCACTGATTTAAAAAAAAACAAATTTTTAACCTAAAAAAAATTTAAACTATTGAATAAAAAAATGATAAAATAATAATAACAATCAAAACAAAACTAAAAATAATTTCTTACAATTTACTTATTTAAATCCCATTTAAATTTTTCATAAAAACAGCTTTTTTTTTGTTTTTGATACATAAATTGTACTTATTACCTGATTTATTTACAATTTTTTTAATTTTAATTTGTAAATAAACTACTGAAATGTAAATTTGAAAACGTTTTGATTTGTATACAAGTCACATTTAATTGATAATTGAATATTGAAAAATATTAGAACAACAAGTGCTATGAGAACGTGGAAAGAAATATTTAAGTAGCATTTTAGATTTTTGTTAAAGACCTTTGAACCAAGGGTCAAAATGTTTTTTTATCAAAACACTTCATTTATTTTATTTTTTTTTTTTTTTTAAAAAATCCTTAAAAAAAAAAAAAAAAGCTGTTTCGAATCAATCATTAAATGGGTTCAAAAAAAATTTTTTTTATTTTTGAATAAATATTTAAAAATTTATTTTTAAACAATAATTTTTATTTTAACAATAAATCATTCGTAAATTTAAATAATATATTTAAATATATAAATAATTTTTTTTTTTTTTGAGATACACTGAAATGAATGAATACATAAGAAAATTATTTGAAATCGTTTTTTTTTTTTTTTTTTTTTTAAATAATTTTCCCTTTCTCAAGTTTATCTTGTTTGGTTTGCCTCGAGAGATTTTTTTTTTTTTGTATCAACAAATTTAAACTTATCTGTAAATATTAGGCTTGCAATTATTATCATTAAAAAAAATAATAATAATAATAATAAATCGAAGCGAGCGAACAGAAATTCAGATAAAGTTACATTACATTTTCCTTTTTATTATTATTATTATTATTTATTTTACAGCTACGAAAAATTTTTTAAATTATGAAATTTTTCACATAAAATTTTTTTTTATGTGAACTTTAATAAGTTTATTTGAATTTTTTTTTTTTTTTTTTTTTATAAATTATAAGTTTGCCTCGTGTAATAAACTCTGTAGTATAAAGTTTTACTTCTCCAAAGGGAATAACTATTGTCGAATTTCAATAAATAAACTCCTTCTCCGGGATAAACGTGAGACCCTGCATAAACTTCATCTTGACAGTCTCTTCTGTAAATAGGTACGATGGCGCTTAGTAAAGGTTTATCTTTACCATCGTTCAATTTATTTAATTTTGATCCCTTTTCGATATCTTCACATGTGGCAAATTCTGAATAATCTTTAAAAAAAAAAAAAAAAAAATGAATAAAAAAATAAAATATAAATCTATGATTTTCGGAGTATGGAAAATTTTCGTTTCGTTTGTTTTTTTTTTTTAAATGAAATTTATGACTTATTTTCTCACACAGCAAAATTTGTATTTTCTTACATTTAATTTTTAACATTTAAACATTTTTAAATTGTACATTACATAAAACCTGCGATTATGTACGGGATCCAAAAACGTTTAATATTTTTGGGCTCATTAAGCAAATGCCAATGGGATTGTGTATAAAACTGGGTATTTATTGATTTTGATTTTTTTATCTTTTTCAAAACTAAAAAAATGATAATTCTTAGTAAAAAAAAATAAAATAAAATAAAAAGGTACCCACATGAGAGAGAGAGAGAGAGTATTATAATCTAATGAGTAATTTTTAACCAATTACCTTCATCATCATCTAAATCATCATCATCCTCCAAATCATCATCTTCATCTTCACTATCTTGAATGTGAACTGAAACTTGATTGGTCGGAGATTTGGTCCATTCAAAATACACTCCAAATCCAATGTCGTAACTATCTGTTGCAAATTCCCAAAATAAACATTTTCCATCTTCGTGTGTTGGAACTCGAACCTGGAATCAAATATAAAAATTTAATTTTCTTTGAAATAACTAGGAAGAGTAATTTTTTTTTTTTTTAAAAAACTTTTTAGATAAATAAATTTAAAAAAATTTTTTTACTGTGACAGTTTCTCCGTGTCCAACTTTAATGATGGCATCTCCTCCTTCTTTACGAATTGATTCTTTAAAATCTTTTATGTCCTTTCTTGTCCACATTGAAGGAGGTGATATTCTAGGTAATTCATCTTAACATAAAAAATTTACATGTAGTCAAAGTATAAAAATCCATAAATAAATTATCTAGGTCAAATTATTGAAAGGAAAAAAAAAAAATGGAAATTTATTTACTAACCATCTAACTCATTAACATTATCGACATTTTCATTAACACCCACTGCACCTGATTCTGATTCTGTTTCTGTACATGAATTATTTACTGTTTGAACAGCTTGATGCTGTTGTTGCATTAACTGTTGCATGTATTGCTGATAATGTTGCTCTTGAAGTTGCCTTACTAAAATTGCTTGCTACAAATATTAAATAATTTGACTAATTTACATAAGCCTTATTACTTACTAAATAAAAATATTAAAAGTTTTTTTTTAACCTGTTCAGGATTTCCAGGATATTGTTCTTCAGCGTATGCCTTGAATGGTTGAAATGTATGAGCGTTCAAAGCATCCTGAATTTGTCGTTTTTTTTCTTCTGCAATCGCCTTTTCTTCTTCTGCTTTTTTTAATTCCTCTTGCCTAGCCATTTCCAAAATCATCTCTTGTTTTTTTCTTTCTTCTTCAAATTTAGCTTTTTCTTCTATATCTGTTTTTTGAGCTTCAACAAAGGGTTTAAATAATGGGCATAGTTTATCTAAAAGTTCAATGAATTCTGTCATAGCTTCATCTTTGGTCATGTTCCCTAAGGATTGCCAAGCATCCCTTCTGTCTCTACCAATTACATCGAGAACTCCTAACGGTGAAGCTTTTTTTAAATTAAAAGGACCTTGACTAACTTGTTGACTGAGTGCAACCAACCTTAATTTGTTTAAGTACGAAAGGTTTATCGCTTTCCCTTCTTTATCTGTTCGAAATAAAAAAAATTATCATTTATATGCTTTCATTTTAAAATAAATTCTAATGATTATTATTAGTTTGATTAATAATTTTTAACAATAAATTAGAGAAAAATTTTTAATTTATAACAAAATAGTAATTTTTTGCATGAAAAAGATTGAATGAAATTTAACCAACTAACTTCATACTATTCATTATAGCAAATCTTTTCATTTTACATTTTGTACAAACTTGCTTTAAACATTAACATTTTATTATTATGTTTAATTCAAAATGTAATTAGTAAAGATTTAAAATTTCATTTAAATAAAAACCTGAAATTTAAGGTACTAATAAAAAAATGTTAATTAACATTTATATCGGTGTGCAACTCTTAATAACCTAAAATTAAGGGAACCATTTTATTATTTATAAAGATATTTTATTTTAAATTAAATTAAATTAACTAATTTATAATTATTTTAAAAAAATTAAATTATAATAAACTCTGTAAGAAATTTTGGCCTTTTTTTACCAATAAGTAATGTAAAATGAAATAATTGCATTCAAATTTTAAATAATTATATTTATTTGAAGAAAAAAATAAAAGTAAAAAAACTTTACATTCATTATTTTATTTAAAAATAACAAAAAGGAACAAAAAAAAGGAAAAAAAAAAAAAAAAAAAACAAATTTTGTAAAAAAATTATATACAAGTTCTATCTAAAAAAATAATACCTTTATAAAATTTTAAACCCAATTTATATAAATCCTGTAGAGGAATACCCCATTTTTCAGTATTATTATCATTATTTTCACAAATTACATTTTTATTTAACGATTCATTTTCATTCGTTTTATTATTTATATTTATATTTTTAACATTATTACTAAGATTTTCTACAGTTTCACACTTTTCAGCCATTTTAAAACTTTATAAAAACAAAGTGGTTTTTTTTTTGAAAGTAATAAATAAAGCAACTTTTTCGGGAAAGGAAACGAATATTATTTTAACTTATTAAATTTTTTAAATGTCAATCAAAATTATTTTAATAAAATATTTAATAACATTTTGCCTTTTTTTTTTTAGGTTTAATTACAAATGTTTTATTGATTTCAAATTCAACCTCAATAAACGAGGTTACTATTGTCATTTTTAATACACTATTTTGCCGCCACTGTATCTCAAGGTTGAATAACTAAATAAAAACATAATAATAATAGATTCTCTATTAATTATTAATAATGACAAAATTTTTTACACACACACACACACACACACACAGGGGGGGGGAGAACGATGAAATATTAAATAAATAATTTCAATACAAATTTAATTCAAAATTTTATTTAAAAAATTATATATATATATATATGTATATAAAAAATAATTAACCAAAGCCACTCCTCTATAAGATTATTAATATAAATTTCAAATATTGATTTTACAAAAGAAAAAAATAATCTTTTTTTTTTTATTTATTTAAAATGCTTATTTAATTATTTATATAAATGTTATATTATAACAGAAAAAAATATATATATTAAACATATAAACACAATAAAGCTTCACATATTACTTAATAAAATATAATAAAAACTGTGCCTTTTTTTAGTGCTTTTATACAAAAATAATAATAATAATTTTGATTTAAAACAAACAAACAAATAAAAAAATTAAATTTAATTTAAATATTATTAAAATTATAATAAATCTTTAAAAAATAATTTTTTTTTTGGCCTTTATTGGGATTTAAATTGTAAAAAATAATTAAAAAAAAATTATTAAAATAAAATTAATGTAAATATCAAAATTAATTTTATAAAAAAAAAAAAAACTTATTGAAATTATTTAAAGTCAAAATTAAACCGTGAGAAAAAAAAAAATATATATATATGTGACGCGATAAATGGGATTTTTTTTTTTTTAATTTAAATTTTTTATTTTCATTCGAACGCCATTTTTTTTTTTTTTTTTTCAAAATTTATATTTAAATTTTATTTTATATTTATGCTTGATTTTTCCGTTTCAATGTTATGAAAATTCCATTCGGGATTTAAATTATTCGCTTTTTGTGTGATTCGGCAAGTGATGATTTTTTTTTTCATTTCCTAAAAAAAAATTTAAAAAAAAAAAAAAATTACAAATAATTATCAATATTATCTAATGATTAATGTGAAAATCATTTAAGTATATTTATGTATAATTTAAATAACGAAAACTTTCGCCATTGTTTTTTTTTCAGTAATTTTAAAATGCCAATTATTTATTGTTTTATTTCACCTTAAACCTTTTTTTTTTTTTTTTTTTTTTTTTAACTCGAACCAAAACAAAAACAAGTAAAAACATGAAAATACAAAATCTTCATTTGAAATAGTTATGTAATAGGGGGGAAGGGGAGGGGGGAATGTGATGAATGGTAGAGTTTATTTATAATTACAATGATTATTATTATTAAATTATTGCCTGTCGGAAAAAGGGTTCAATCGTTGTTGTATGATAAAGAAAAAAAAAAGGGAAACGATTTATCAGTGAGTTTACAAAAAAAAAAAAAAAATTTAGGAAGTATTTATCATTGAGACATTGATTAAAAAGGAAACGAGCAAGAAAAAAGAAAAATTAACTTTTTTTCATTGATCATTATTTGACCGAGCGTTAAAAACCATTTCTCCCTCCTCTCCCCTCCCTAACCCCCTCAAAAAAAAAAAAAAATTCCCTTACGCTATCGTCCTTTCTTCCTTCCTTCCTTATCATTTTTTACATGTACCCTAGGCTAATGATAATAACAACAACACTACTATTATCTTACCCGCGTGAGCCTTTTTTTTTATACCAAAAGAATTAGCCTTTGAATTTTCTTCGGATTCTTTTTTATCAATGATTGAATTGTCCGCAACTGATTGTTGGGATTTTTTTTCAGGTATGTGAGGTTTTAATATCCACAACCAGGAAAACAACATAGAAAGCAATCGCCCGGTGGCAAGCGTATACTGTACAGCAAATGCGGTTTTAGAATCTAAAAATGGGAAATTTATTACAAATCTACCGAGTTTTTCTTTTTTCTTTCATCATTTTTAAAATTCTACAAAAACATTTCAAAATTTATATATATATGTAAAATGCCTTTTTTACTTGCTCGTCACAACATCTTCGACTAATTTTTTGGAGGGGATAATAGAAAATGACATTGTTGTTTCAAAGTAAAATTAAATAATGGTAAGTTTATAACATTTGAATTTATAATTTTAATGATGAATTCGTATTTTCTTTTTTTATTTACAAAAAAAAAAAAAAAAAAGCAAAAGCGTTAATTTTAAACAGGTTTATAAACCGCAACCGCACGCAATACCCCATAAAAATTTGTTTGTTTGTTTGTTTGTTTCCAAAGATGCTTACAAGAATATACATATTTACATTTTTAATTAATTTTTATTTTCGAGTTAGAAAAACATTTTTTAAAAAATTACCTTCAGAATTTAATGATGGTAAATTTAATGAATCTTTAACATCTTTAAGTTTTTGAGTTCCGTATTGAGTTGCTCCATAAGCAATTTCTACTGCTTTTTTAACACCTTGTTCTCCAGCTTGACAAGCACATTTAACTCCAGGAATGGTATACAATGAATCCCGTGTATTTTGATACATCTAAAAAAATTTCATTTTTTATATTAAATTGCGACGTTTGTTTATTTATTTATTTATCATTTTAAAAAATTTTTTTTTTTTTTTTTGAGTGTGTTTGATATTGGCATTTGATCTTATTCGACCATTTCGACCTTAAATGATAAGAAAAATTGATAGAAAATAAAGTTTTAAAAAAAAACCTTATTTATACGTAATTATTATTATTATTATTAATAATTTATACAATTCGTTTGAAACTTTTTTAAATTATATTTTGAATTTTAATGATTTGTTTTTAAGATTTAAATTTAAATATTAAAAAGTCCAATATCCAAAATTTTTTCTTCTCATGTATTTTGTCAATTGTTTACTCTTACGTTTCGTTCTTGGCATCATTAAATGTTTAAATAATTTTTTATTTTCCTAAAATTATTATTATTTATTAATAGGAATTTTTTTTTTTTTTTTCACATGTATTCAATGACGAACTAACTTATACGTAATATTTTTTAATCGTTATTGGTATTTACGGTAAATTTTTACTTGTGACTCATTTGTCTGGCTCAAAGTTCATATTATAATAAAACTTAAAACGAAATCAAAGCAAAAATTTTATTTTTATATATCTTGGATATTCAATTTTCAGATTTACGATTAGATAAAAAAAATTAAATAATTTTTATTTATAAAATTTCAGATTAAAAAAAAATTAATTAGACCACTTAAGAATATCAGTTGATATCTTGTACATGAATCTTTGAGAAAATAATTTTTGTTCTAGAAAGATCATTTCAAAGTAAAATCCTTACCTTGTCCAGAGGAAGTTTTACAGCTGGAATTTTATCTTCAACAAAATCCAAACTCGAACATAGAAAAGAATCCATCATTTTTATGGGTCCTTCAAGTTTAGACGTTACCGGAAGTGTTATATCAACAGCTCCCTTAACTAAAATTTTAAAATGGAGATCTTATGGTAAATTTTTTTTATAAAATTTATTAAAGTTAAAAATAAAACAAAAGAAAATATTTCACACCTGTTGTTTCTGCTGTTGTCAATACGGTTTTAACTAAACTGTTTGTGTCTTTTACTTTGACATACAGATTATTTGCCATATCCACTGTTTGTTCTACAGCTGGCAATTTAGAAATTCTTTCAACAGATTTCATCCTTGGAATATTGTATTTAGGCTGTATAGCAACTTCTTGGGCCATCTACACGACAGGAAAAAAAAAAACCCGAGGTGAGTTATAAAAAAAATTTTTTACACGTGCGAAAAAAAAAGAAAAGAGAAAGCCATTTCATAAATCTTTTTTGTTTGTCTTTTTTTAAATTTTCTTTTTTTTTTTTTTTTTTGACAATTGAGAGTTTAAAATTATACATAGTCATTATTTTATTACGTAAATCAAAAACTCCGGAAAAAAAAGGTGAAAGCGTGTTTTTTTTATTCAATAATTGTCAATTGATGATCAAAAAGTTAAAAAAATTTTCACCCTAAATAGTATAGTATTATTTTTTTAATTACTCAGCAAAAAAAAAAAAACATGCAGAAAGTAGAATTTCTATGATCGAATAAAGATTTTAATAATCATAAAAAAAA